TTAGTAAGGCTTGAAAAGCCTTTTTTGTGGTCCTAGATATAGATTTACAAATGTCTCATAGAATTATTTCTGCAGTTGGCAGAGACAGAAGAGTCTTTCAGAAGGAGTGAAAGAAGGCTGGATGGGAAACTTCTGCACAGAGAGAGGGAGAGAGATTAAATGGTAGGAAGAAGGTTACTACATTTTTAGGTGCTAATTGGAGGGAACATCTTGAATTTGTTCTTTTACTATTTTCTGAAATATCATTTCACTGACAGTGGCTTGTTTTCCTAACTGCTGTAATGCTTAAATGTTAAGAACTTCTTTGCTGAAAAAGAATTTGTCCAGTGCATACGGGAGGTTGGGGAAAGATGTTCCAATCAGAGTGACTGATGGGAACTAAGGCATAGAGACCGGGAAGACCACAGCAAGTGAGAGGCACAGGAAGTGGTGGGTATGAGGGGCCAGGCCGGGCCTGCTTAGCCTATGAAGGAAAGTTGCAATGGCAAGAGCAATAGGATTGACAATACTGAATAATAATAATGGTGATGATAGCAAACACATAACATTTACTATATTCCAAGCTTTAAAAATTTACATCTGTTATCTCATTTAATACCCAAAGTGCGTTGTGAGGTAGAGGTGCTATCACTTTCCCCATTTTACTGAAGCACAGAGAGTAAGTAACTTGTTGAAGGTTCCCATGGCTGAGATTTGAACTCAGGCAGTCGGGGTCCTGAGTCCATGGTCTTCATGCTATGCTGCCTCTCAAATCTAAGAATGAAATATAAATTCTGCCTTGTAGTTTCTGGGTGTTTCGTATAAGATACATAAACATTAGAATAAAGAATTTCAGTGTCATGCTTAATTGAATTTATGTCTAATGTTTGCAGATGGGGCAAATGTACAGTGACAGAGAACTGATTTTGATTTCTCTTTCCCCGGTTTTAAATTAGTAGGGGCGAGTGGGCTTGTATGTACTAGTCTTACATTTAGTTGAGTGTTGAGAACATCTCATTTGCTATTAGCTGTGATTGAGATAAAAGCTTTTTGATTAAACATTTAGCTTTGGGACTAAGGTTAGAAAGAACCCAGGTACCACTAGCTGTGTGATCTTGAGCAGGTAACAGTCTCTCTAAACCAGGTTTCCTCATCTGTGAAATGGGGTAGTACCTACCTCACAGGATCATTATCAAAACTGAATGAGTTAATATTTATAAAGTCCTGGCATATAGTATTAAGTAAATAAAAAATAACACTCGACATTTGTGCTTCCCTGCTTGTGGACATAGCATATAACATATATGCACGTACCCACACCTCAGAAGTAATACCAAGAGGAAGTATATTTTAGGAAAGTTAGTTAAGGGTGGCAACTTAATGGACAGATGGAAAGAGTAACTGAGGAGTCTGTGTCTAGCTTGGGTCCCACAGATAGTCTTTGACTTTACAGATTTCTTCCTCTATTTAATCATGTATAATAAATAGTAAAACAAGCAGAGTAAGTAAATTTTCTCAAATACCACTCTCCTGTTTAAGAATCCACAGTACCTTGCATGTGTTTATCAAGTCTAGTATCTAGATTTCTCAGCAAGGATTTCAGGTTCCTTCACTGAACTCCTCCTCCTTTTATCTTATCATCTCTTGTAAGAGATTATAAATTAAGCCTGGCAAGGAAACCTGCTTGTCCTCATGACTTGTTTGTTCTTGCCTCATTGTTCCAGCTCTTCTCCAGTCTTCTCACCACCATTTTCTCTCTGACTTCTTAGCAGATATAAGTAACGATATTCAGTGACATGGGATCTCAGTGCCCACTGAGTCATGCTCTCTGTGGGTGTAGTTATTAAAGTCTTGTATTAATAAGCACTTTAAGAAACTTTTACATTCTGTCCTTTTTTTTCATTTTAAGTATAGATATAGTGTTTTCACATCATAGTAGAGTGTTCCAGCACAGTGCCTTGCATTTAGTCAGGGATATAAATTATCGAGAAAGAAGGGCCTTACAGTCATGTTCTTGTTCTACTCAGTGCACCACTTAAAATGCTCCTTTTGCCCTGGGTCACACCTTTGTGTTGGTTTAACAATTGGGTTGTCTGGAGCACAGGTTGTCAAACTAAAACTCCCAGGCCATGTGTTTTGTGAATAAAATTTTGTTTAAACATAGCCATGCTCATTTGTTTACATATTTTCTGTAACTGTTTTCCTGCTTCTGTGGCAGTGTTGACTGTATGTTACAGAGACCATACGGCCTGCAAAGCCTACAGTATTTATTACCTGGCCCTTTACAGAAAATGCTTTTTAACCTTTGGTCGGGGGAACTACACCTTCTGATGAAGGAGATTGAAACCATGGCAAAAGAGCCGCAAAGGGAACATGGGATGTTTACCAGGTGAAGAGATTTACGTGTGACAGGGAAAGCTGTCTTTAAATATTTGAAGGACTGATGTTTGGACGAAAAACTAGACCCTTGTCTGCTTAACTTAAGGCTCTGAGATTCTGCCTTGGAACGATTCTCTCAAACTCAGGCTGCGGTCCTCAAGCATTTTTCCAAGGCACTAGCTTAGTCTGGGCCAGCAGATTGCAGAGCCAAGCAAGTCACAGTAGGCCTTCAAAGCGAATATCCTCCTGGTCAGGTATTCTGGTGTAGGGCAAAGCATCATCCCAGTGGAAAATAAGGTAGATTGAACAAGCATTACCAAATAACCTAAATCTAGTTTAACACCTTTAAAAGCTTATATTTTACTTGTTTTTTTCACGCTTGTGGAAGGTTGGAATCATTCTTTCCTCCAATGATTCCCAAGAAGGTTTCAAGTTTCTTTGTTTATACCAAGTGATAAGTGACCTTAAAAAGTGTTCAGGTGTGTAAGGCTAAAACAGTGTTCTTTAGGCTTATTGCTTGCTGTCTTTTGTAATCTCATCTTAATCTTTCCTGTTATACTTGAGTTCATCAGTTTACCATTAAATGTAAAAGATCCATTTAGGAAAACTGACCTTGTATTTAGTTCTTACATTCTTTTCATACTTCTACTGGTCTTCTGAAATAGAGATTTAGTATTAAAACTTCAGAATTTAAAAGAGGAGCTTTTAAAATCAAAATACCGTTGGTTAAGGACCTTCTTTTAGATCTAAGTCAAATTATGGAAAGCTGCTGAATGAGACTCATTCAGCAAACATTTGAATTAAGAGCATTGTACTTTGTGTATCGCTTTAGCTATCTGTGTGATTAGCTATTCTTCTGATTTGGACTTCTTACAAAAGGGTTCATATTTGTTCCATGTCCTCAGGTCTGAACACCTAAATCCAGGCATCGTGTCAGTTGAGAACTCCTTCATTCTGCAGAAGTTCAGATGTAGTGGTATCTATTATGTGGAAAAGCTTTGTAGACTGTAGAGAACCATGCAAGTAAAGGTTAATTTTGGTAAGAGCAGTATAGTACTTGGTGAAGTAGCTCCTGCTGAGAGTCTGGATGCCGCCGCATAGCTTCTAACTGGCCAGCAGAGGCCAAGCAGGTTCTCTATCACCACTTTCTTCCCACTGTTTATCGCAGGTCTTTGTCCGCATTATCCCATTTCAGGTAGAATGGGTTGGAGAAGGGAGACGCTCAGATGTGCAGTCTGTTGAATAAACATTTGACTCTGTGCTTGCAGTATTTAAAAATGTTTCTATTTACTTTTTTGTCCTATCATACTTTTAAGTCTTGAAACACTGGTGAGGAAATATTTCCTGTATATTCATAAAACATTCAGAAAGAAATTTTGATTTTTAATTATGATTTTTAAAAAATTAGATACTCATATGCTTACTACTTACTTTATATATGTACTAAATAAACATAGGTACAAAACACAAACTTTTTCCAAATGTTAGACTAATATGGCACTGTTTAGATAATTAATTTAAAAAACATTTATTTATTTTAAAAATATATCTTTATTGATTTCAGAGAGAGAGGAAGGGAGAAACACTAATGATGAGAGAGTCATTGATCGGCTGCCTCCTGCACGCCCCCACTGGGGGTCAAGCCTGCAACCCAGGCATGTGCTCTGACCGGGAATTGAACCTCGATCTTCTGGATCCTAGGTCTATGCCCAACTGCTGAGCCATGCGCGGCCTGGCAGTATTCCTACTTCTTGACCGTGGGAACTGTCCCTTACCAATTTTGTATCCCTTCTTCCCCACACCCAGTGAAGTGCTTTCTATACGCCAGGTACTCTCATGTGTGTGTCTGATGAATAAGTCATCAATATCACTCTTAAAGTTTTACATATTTATATACAGAAATTTGTTAAAATTTCCTTTGAATTTTTCACTAAATAGCTCAGTAATTGGGGAATAGACTTGATCACCAGAGAACCCTAACCTGTTATCTTCCTTTGCTTACTTGTGCAATCCATTTTCCTACTGTAAAGGGAACTGTTATTCCTTTGGTGCTCAAAACACATTTAGTAATAATACCTGATACTTACATAACACTTACTGTGGCCCGGTGCTATAAGTGCTTCATGTGTATTGTTAGCTTATCTAATCCTTATAGCAATCTTTTGATGTAAAGGCTATCATCCCCATCTTACAGGTGAAGAAACTATGGAGGACAGGTTAAGTAACTTGCCCAAGGTCACACAGATAGTAAGTGTACTAGTAATGGTATCAAGTGGTCGGACAATTAGCTTCCCCTAAGTTGAGAGGGATGAAGGTTAAGAAGGTGTGTGGTTATGTTTGAATGCTTGCACTTTGCATGTTACTGATCCTGTATAGTAAGTGAGAACTTGCAAGCAATACAGATGTCTCTACTGAAACATAATAATATTATATACAGGTCGAGAGTAAAAAAAAATCTGGCTGTGGTTGACAGTTTTAGTCTCATTTATATTGCTCCTCTAGTTTCATTATTCAGATGATGACATCATGTAAATAGATGTATTCTCCAAGTTACTTTTGTACTACTGTTTTCAATTAAGAAACTGTTCTGTTTGTTAGTGTGTAAAGATTAACTCTGAATATTTTCTCTCATTTCTTAACAGTACAGTGCTGTGGATACCAATCCACTCTCTCTGTATGTCATGCATCCATTTTGGAACACTATAGTAAAGGTAAGATGATGAATAGGCATGCACTTATGTTTTAATAAGTTTTAGATTTTAAACTGTTCTATGGAGTGTTATAGATGCAACGGTCAGTTTAATAAGATATCTAGAGAAACTGCCCCCCCCCCCCATTTCCTTTCCCATGCCTTTCCATTTATCTCATTGTTGAAATCTCAGTTTATACTCTGGAATTTCTAATTTTGTAAAATTTTAAAAAATAAATGTAATGTTTGTTGATCATAGAATTATTTAAAACAGAATAGAAAGAAGTGCTCTTTTCTATCAACTGGAGATTATAGTTCACATTTTAATATAAATAACTCTTGCGTATGATGTTTTAAATTATAGCTTTTACTCTAACTTAAATTTACATGTTGTGCTGTGTGTGAACAGAGATATTCCTCTACTTTAATTATATTGTAATTATTTTGAAAAAAACACAGGTGTTTCCTACGTGGCTGGCTCCAAATCTGATAACCTTTTCTGGCTTTCTGCTGGTCGTATTCAATTTCCTACTCTTGGCATACTTCGATCCTGACTTTTATGCTTCAGGTAAGATTACTACTTTTAATATAAAATTTAAAATATCTAAATAGAGAAAAATGATATGGTTATTTTCTGGTTTTATTAAGATGCTTATGTTTCTGAAAAGTTTTAGGTATTATAAGGGTATATAAAATGTCAGAATTGGGTTTAAAAGCTGTGTTTTCACAATCTGTATGTATATTTCTATTAAGTTCTAGAAACTAATTTGGCTATTTAATTTAGATAGGCTGTCCAAAAGCATAAGGTTTTGGTAAAGAATAACTAGATTTATAAGAAAATGAAAGAAAAGGACTACAAAACTACCTAAAAATGAATATAAGGTAGAGCTCAGCCTACCTACCAATTCCAGAAATACCCCCTCCTTTCTTCTAGTTATGGGAGAAAAATCTTGTTTTCTCTTTCCCTCTGCTCAGTATCCTTCTAATAATTCCCAGTTTCCTCTAAAAATGGTTCTTAGACCTTTAAGTATTTTTTGACAAAAGTCTGGATCCTTATTGGGGAAAACAGGAGAAATCACTTTTGGGGAGGCAGTTTTCAGCCTGTTCCCTCCTGGGACTCCAGTATCTTCTTTCACACCTATTCCTGTCTTGACTGCCTTCCACACCCAGCTTCTGCCCCAGCAGTAGGAGTGAACCTGGAGTGCATTTGGGATGGGGGTGGATAGTGGGAGACAGGGTTTATTTCTGTCATTCACTCAGTTGTTGGAGTTGAGAGGAATAGGAAGATGAAAGTAGATAAGTATTTTTTGCATTCTAAGTTAGAGAATATATTTTCCAATATTATAATTCATCTGTGTTCTGGGTTCAGCAGACTTTTGTGGACTAACCTGGAGAAATTAACAATCACTGAAAATGTAGAAACATTTGGAGTTTGAAGCACTTAGGAGTTTTGCTATCATAGAAATTCTGGATATATACACCTGACTTTATCAACTGAAACTTTTAGCCATAGCTTCTGTGCATGTAATAAAATGGTAATTGAAGATCATAAAGTACTATATGAATAAGTAAGATTAAATTTCATTCAGCATGGTTTTTATACTGTTTTTTTTAAAATTTGTATTTTAATCCTCAGGACAGCCTCAAAGTTTTGCTTTCTAACTTAGAAATATTATTTTCTCTAATTAAGTAAGAATATTTATTTAGTTATTAAGAGAACTAAAAACATGTAAATATTATATATATTTTCCCAAATCATAGAACTTGAAGGAGCAGATCAACCATCTAGTCCAGTATATTTGGGAAATGGAAGACAAGAGAGGTTAATGACATATTTAGGTCACAGTACTCATTGGTTACATAGCCAGGACTAGAACCCAGGCCTCCTGATTCCTAGTTGTTATATCTTAGGGGGAAAAGGTGAGGTCCAGACATTTCATTGTGATTCTGATGCCAGAATCATCCAGTTGAGGTAATCTCTATACCCAAATCAAAAGGTCTTTTGTTTAGCTAATTAATTGTAGTAAGAGAGTATAGGTTGAAGGCTCAATACGTATTTGTAATATAAATGTAAACAATGAGGGTCTGATTAAACACAAGCATTTTTTAAACTCCAAAAGACATTGTTTTTCATCCTACATAAGGTTTTAGTGAAGATGAATAGCCAGTCTTGAGTTATGGTTCAAGCTCAAAATAAATGCCTGTTGTTTGTGAGGGGTTAGACAGTCCTTCTTTGTTTGGTTTTCTTTCAGAGTTTACTGATACACTTTAATATTTACCTACTTCTGTGTTCAAAATATATTGTAAAATATCGTAACTTCTTTTTAATAAGTAGAAATGTTTTTCTCTGGCAGTATATGCTATGGTAAGAACGATTGTGCTTAGACGACTGTATTAAACTCTGAGTTGCTTTCCTTTGCAGCACCAGGTCACAAGCATGTACCTGGTTGGGTGTGGATCGTGGTGGGCATCCTCAACTTCGTAGCCTACACTCTAGGTAAGAAACTGGCAAATACTTTATCAACGGCTGGCGAATCTGTCAGTAAGGATAGCCGCCCACTCAATGTTTTCTCCTATGCTTAATTCATTTTAACTAGGGCTTATTAATATCCTGTCCAATTTAGTAAATATCTTTTTTAGTTTCTCTGTGAAAAATATTGTTATTCATTGGTAGGGATTTAAAGAATAAGATAGGAGTTGGCAGACTACCACTTGTGGGCCAAACTGGCCTATTGCCTGCTTTTGTAAGTAAATTTTTATTGGAATACAGCTGTGCTCATTCCTTTACATATTGTCTATGGCTACTTTCCTGCAACAAAGGCAGAGTCGAGTCGTTGCCAACAGAGATCATATGGCCCAGAATGTCTAAACTATTTCCTATCTGGCTCTTTACAAAAAATATTAGGTAGGTTATTGAAATAAGACATTATTTTTGCCTTAAGTTTGGGAAGCAATACTGACATACCAAATAATTGCAGAGTACTGAGAGAGACACTAGATAGAGCCCAGTGGGAGAACAAATAAGGAAGTGATCAGTTCTTATTTGGTGGAAGGAATGGTCAGGGAGGTCTACTGTACTAGGCCATTCTGTCCATTCTGCCAAGAATGCTTTTCACTGGATTATCTGAATGGCTTGTCCTGCATCCTCGTTGTATCCTTTCCTGCTTTATTTTTCTCCGTAGCACTTAAAATCATATGACCTATTACTCATTTACTTACCTACCTGTTTGTTGTCTGCTCCAAAATATAAATTTTTTGAGGGTGGTGCTTTGTTTTGTTCACTACTGTGTACCCAGTGTTTAGAACATAGTGGGTGCTCAGTATATATATAGTTTTTAAATGCATGTGAAGTAGCAGACCCTGCCTTCAAGTTGCTTAGATCTCCTCAGATAAAAATGACTTCCACTCATAAAACCAGTATAATCTGGTCCATGATTAAATGCTGACATGGTGGATGACCAGAGCTGCAAGAGTTGGGGAAAGAAGTCTAGAATAATTAGAAAAGGCTTAGTTACATATTTAGGTAGAGGCTTTTGTGTATTCATTATTAAAGATGAGAAGGTTTTAAAATTCTGCTATTTGGTTGCCAAGGACTACAGGAGGAATAGGGAAAAGGTGAAGGTAGCCGGTGGGCTCTGAGTTGGAACATTTAGCATTCATAAGGAGCCTTGTGATATACTGTATCATCTACCAGTTTCAGGTCCACAGCTCTGGCAAAAGTCCTGACCTAAGGTGAACTATTTGTTGCAAAACCTATCTTGAACTAACATGAGGCAATTTTCAATCTTGACTTATTCTACTAGTGTGATTGTTCTTACATTTTGCTGCAGAAATATTAATGTGTTTCATCACCAGGTGCTGCTCTACGTCCTACTGGGGTTTTTCATAATATATGGAATATTCCCTGAATTACCTTTTTTTAAAAAGAAAACACTCTGAAATATATGTAGACCGCGTACTTTGGAGCTAGAATGGGTTCAGCAAGAAGATGCACAAAACCTAATATGTAATTCATGGATTTAATATTTATTATAACTGCATAGGAGTTGCACTGAAAATAGGAAATTAAGCCAGCAAGTAATGAGAAAAGTCTTAGGAAATATTTTAGCTGCTTAAGGGCAGAAAGACCTTATATAAGAAAGATCTGCAGGCTTTGGGCAGGAGTTTGGCATTCATCCTTTATATATTTCTTTAACAGTGTTTTTGAAAGCCCTCTTTGTCACAAACTGAGCTAGGCCCTGGGGTAATACTATGGTGAGGAAGAAACACAGTAATTATAAGGAATTTCTAATTTCTGAAACCTGAATCTTTACAATTAGCCTAATTCTAATGCACTTAGATAACAATACTGTTTCTTTTGGGGAGAAATTTTTTATAATTCAGACTTTTCCTTTTTAACTAGGTGCTAGGTTTTACCACCCCCCTCCCGCCTCTCCTCTCTCCCCCTCTTCTTTTCCCCCTCCTCCCCCCTTCACTCCCTCCCCAGGTTCCTCTGTTTCTGCCCTAGATGAAGGTGTTCTACTATACTTTACCCTTCACTTTCTCTCTCCTAATTTCCCTGGTAATCCTGATTCTTAGCACTATTACGATGACTCCCTTGTTTATAGGTAGCTGTTGTTTGTCTTCTGAGTTACGAGTAAGTACCCCTGGGCTGAGTTGCTTTAATTACCGTGTGGCTTTCCCCGTAACACTTCAGTTTCAGCCTCTGGATTGCACTCAGCGTCTTTTCTATCGTCTTGCTCCTGCTGCTGACCTCCATGTTTCTGTGGACACTGACACTTACTGTTACCCAGACCGGGAACTTTGGAGATGGCCTTCTTGTCCTTCAGCCTCTCCCCTCATCTTTTGCTACCCTGTCATTTTCACTTTCCTCATATCTCACCTGTCTCCAGCTTTTCATCTACCCTGCATTCCACCTCCATGTTGGCTTACTGGTAGTGTTCCTCTCCCAGCTTGTCATTCACACTGATGCCAGGGAACCTTTCTGAAGCACTTCATTGATTTCACTCTTGTTACTCTCTTGCTCAGATATTTTCAGTAGCTCTTCACACTCCCTAAAACTTTTAAACCTCCCTTTTATCCTCTGTACACTACCCTCTTCACATAGTAGTTTCTAGTCAGACTAAACTACTTGGCTTTTTCTGAACAGGCATGTGCTTTTCCATCTCAGTGTTTTTGCTGATAGCACTCCCTTCTCTTGAAATGACATACTCCTTTATCTCTCGTCTACTGAAATCCAACTCATTCTTTTTGTCCCCGCTCAGATTTCACCTTGTCTTCAAAGCCATTCTAGATCACCTTAGCCTGAAGAGAACCTATCCCTTTTCTATACTCTTCTATGAGTTGTGATAACTGTGTCTTTAATTATCATGTTTTTTCATGTTATCAATCTTTTCATTGTAAGATTCTTATAATCTTTACAAAATTGAGACTAGATTGCATAGATTCAATAAATTCTTACATTCACTGCAGCTTACTATGTACAAAACTTACTCTGAAAGCACTTAAAATTGTGGAGGTGGTTGAGCTGTAAAGAAGTGCCTGTAATAGCAACCAGGATGAAATAGATGTTGTAGCTGAAGTACGGAGTGTTTTTGGATCCTAGAGCAAGGAGCGGTTAGATGAAATATAGTGCGTAACTATTGAATGTTTTCTGGGGGCTTTAGAATTTGTGGCTAGTGGAACAATTCAGTTGTTAGGCAGATCTGGAGAACTTCAGAGTCCAACGAGAATGTGTCTTCCTCAGATCTCAAATTGAACCATTCAGTGTAATATAACATTTTAACTTTTAGATTAAACTTAGAGAAATTACCGATTTTACTTCTGAAACCTTTGAGTTGTAGGAATTAAAGGTTAGATTTTTATAGTACTGGCTGGTAGCTGTACTTTAGTTAATTAACATTCCTGTGATAAGCTGATGTGTTTTGTTTTGTTTTCTCCAGTTTATTGAAGAAGACTGTCTCCATATTAGTACACGGATTTGACCTTTTCCCGTGGTGATGTGTTTTGTTGCAGATGGTGTGGATGGAAAGCAGGCGCGCAGAACCAATTCCAGCACTCCCTTGGGGGAGCTTTTTGACCACGGCCTGGATAGTTGGTCGTGTGTTTACTTTGTTGTGACCGTGTACTCCATCTTTGGACGAGGGTCGTCTGGTGTCAGTGTTTTTGTTCTGTATCTGCTGCTGTGGGTGGTTTTGTTTTCTTTCATCCTGTCCCACTGGGAAAAGTATAACACAGGGGTTCTTTTCCTGCCGTGGGGATATGACATTAGCCAGGTGGTAAGTATGTGTTTTAACTTAAATTTTCAACATTGCATCTATTTTGGGGGGAAGTTTTTGTCATTCTTTCTTTAATGCCCTCTTTTGATTAGAACTGAGGTGTACTTTTAAAAAAGTTCTTTTATATTATTTTTACTTATTTATGGAAAATTTCAAACATAGGCAAAAGTTGAGAGGATAGTATAGTGGACCCTTATGTACCTGTTACTTTAGCTTCAGCAGTTACCAACACATGGCCAGTCTAATTTCATGTATACCCTTTCTCACCCCCCAGTTATTTTAAAGGAAATTCCTGAAATTATTGATAAATATTTTACTATTAATCTTTTAATGGTAAGAGCTCTTTTTATTTATTTATCCTTACCCAAGGATATATGTTTTTTTAAATTGATTTTTAGAGAGAGGGGAAGGAAGAGAGAGAAACATTGATGTGAGAAAGAAACATCAATTGGTTGCAAGCCTTTTTGTGCCCCAACCGGGGATCAAACCCGCAACCTAGGTGTGTGCCTTGACCAGGAATTGTGAACCCGCCACCCCTTGGTGTATGAACAGTGCTCCAACCAATTGAGCCACCCAACCAGGGCAGTAAGAGCTCTTTTTAAAAAAACATAAACACGATTGGGCGTTGTCCTGTGCACTGAAAGGTTGCTGGTTTGCTCCCTGGCCAGGGCCCATGCCTGGGGTGCAGGCTCCATTCCCCGTGGGGCCTGCAGGAGGCAGCCAGTTGATGTTTTGCTCTCACATCAGCGTTTCTCTCTCCCTCTCCCTTCTTTCTCTGAAAATCAATACAAAATCTTAAAAACAAAACAAACAACATAAATACAATGCCATTATTACACCAAAAAATGAACAGTTTCTTAATGTTAATAAAATTCCATTTTAACTGTTGATTTGTAAAAAAAAAAAAAAAAAAGAATGTAAAAGAAAAGAAAAGATACGCACATAACTGTTGGCTCTTTGTCCTTGTCGCCAACTTTTCGGTGATTAGCAAGATTTGTTTTCTCTTACTTAATAGGCTTGCTCTTAACTCTCTGTGCCTTTGAATCATGCTTTTTGTGTTGCCATTTTGCCCATTTGCACCTAAGGCTCCAGTAAAGAGTAAGAAGTTGGGATGTTTTTGATAAAGAAAGTGACTGGGTGGGCAGATTGGGTCATCTTATGGCTTAACCAACTTACGAGGTGCCTTAAAGTGTTCCAAATGATGGCCAGTTGCTTGCATTGTCTAGAAGTTGTTTATTTTATGGCATTGTTGGCAAGAAGACTTGCAATGATACCCAGTTTAAGCATACTTCTTGCTTTTACTAAAAGTATTTGAGTAGATTTATGCTGCATAAAGCATTATTGATTTCCTGATCTTTCCAGCTGTTAATGCCTCTGTATGCTTTTGTCTGCATTTTCCTTCCAGACTATTTCTTTTGTCTACATAGTGACTGCGATTGTGGGAGTTGAGGCCTGGTATGAACCTTTCCTGTTTAATTTCTTATATAGAGACCTATTCACTACAATGATTATTGGTAAGAAGCTCCATGTTGAAGCCTGTTTTAACATCACTTTGTTATCAAAGCCAGTGTTTGATTATAACAAGCAGCCACACCCTTTCCCCTCCCTGACACCCTCCAGCAAGCAGGACAGCCCTACAACCCTGTAGGATTTCAACCTAATTAGAGAAAATAAAGGTGTCTTTGTGTGTCTTTTTGTTGTTGTTGTTCAGCATCAGGGTATTTTTAATAAGAAGAAAATACCAAAATAGATCACACAAACTTATAAACTATTTAAATTAATCTAGATTGTATTGGAGGATTCACATCTAGGTGGCATTATATCAAAGATGAAGATTATTAATTTGTAGGAAATAGAATAGAGAGTACTTTCTAATATGTCCACTCCAACAAGTGAGCCTCCGTTCATCCCCGGTGTCCTTGTGCCACTGAATACTAGGTAAAGGTTTTAATCATGGTGATGGTTCCCTTTTGATTTTAGCTGAAGGCGAGGGATCTCTACAGGATGAATGTTTGCTATGGAAAGAGGCAAAAAGGAAGAGGAATCTAGATTATTTGGGGGCATCAGGAGTGGTGCTAAAGACCTTTGTAGAAGTAAAAAAGCAGACTTGTTGGCGACTTGTTGGCTATCGCTCTGTTCCCTTATCTAAAAAATAACCCTGTCTCTTTGTGTTGGTGAACCTTGGTAATGGAATAGGAATTAGGTAAGGTGTAGAAACAGCTGGGAAGATAGTGCCTAAGGCATTGGCTTTCAGAAAAGAAGTAGTTTGGGCCTTTTTTGTGGTTCTGAACCACATACCTTTTAGGAACCCTACTGTAGTCTACCAAACGTTCACTTTTTGGTACCTATATAAACTGATTTCTTTACCTTGAAAAGGCTAGCTATTCTTTATCTCCCACCATGTAGTGTATCTTTTGATTTAAGCAGCTTATACTGTGGCAGGTTTGTGCATTTTACATTTAAATGTTAAATTTAAAGATAAGGCTGAATTCTCTGATATGACATATAGTTTTGAATGTTAAATGAGTGCTTTATTGGGCACATAATTTTGTTAGTAATTTATAAGTTTATCTGAATTCTTCTTTCTGAAATAAAACAAAAGCCCACATATTTCAGTACAAATAAGTAAAGTAGCTTTTCCAGTACTAGATTTGAGTAGACACAGATAGAAGGGCCTTAGGGCCTAAGCTACTTAGTTTCTGCTGATAAAGTTGGTAGTGCTGGTGTTGGGGTGGCTAATGTAGACTAGAGCTTATGGTGAGGCAAGGAATGACCAAAGGTTGGTAGGAGGTGGAGTGGCTCCTGTTTGCCATTATGGAAGGCTGCCTTCTTTGGGTACAACAGGCAGGCCACCTAGAGAAAAAGCAAGATTGCCCTCTCAGTTTTCCCCCTCTTTTTATTATGAAAAATTTAAACATCTATCTATACTCAATTCTTTCTACTTTTATATGATAAATCCCTATGTCCCATCATCCAGCTTTAACAAGTTTTCAATTCAAGTGCCAATCTTGTTTCAAATGCACCACTAGCCCGTAACCCTTGGGTTATTTTATAACATATAGTCTTATAATTGCCCACTATTTACCATTTTTACTGCACTTCATTCCTTTCTGTATATCTTAAAATATGGTGTTCTTTCTCAGAAGTCTAAGGTACTTCCTTTAGCGTTTTTATAGAGCAAGTCTGATAGCATTATGTTCTGTTTTTGTTTATGTGAAAATGTTTTGATTTTGCCATAGTTTTTTTCCCCGTACCACTTTGAATATGTCATTCTAATGTCCTGTGGCATCCACTGTTTCTGAGTCAGCTCATACATCATTGTCAAACTGTATGTAATGTATCATTTTTCTCTTGTTGCTTTTAAGATTCTTTATTTTTGGCTTTTAGAAGTTTGATTATGATGTACATAGGTGTGGTTTTCTTTGTGTTTGTTCTTGGTGTTTGTCGAGCTTGTTGGATCTATAAGTTAATATTTTGACTAAATGTGGGAAGTTAATCAACTGCAGTTTATTTCTTCAGATTCCTTTTTCTGTCTCTCTTTTCTCCTCTGGGACTCTATTTACATGTATGTTAGACATTTACATGATATTGTCCTACAGGTAATTTTATGAAGCTTTATTAATTTTTCTTTAATCTTTTTTTTCTATTTTTTTAGTACATGATTTCTATTCATCTGTCTTTTAGTTCACTGCCTTTTTTTCTTCTGCTACCTCCCATAGCCTCTTAAAGCTTTCTTGTGAATCTTTCATGGAACCTATCATTTAACTTCTCATACTTTTCAGCTCTAGATTTTCCATTTGGTTCTTTTTATACTCCATTTCTCTGTTGAGATTCCCTCTCTGTGCTTTCATTATTGCCATATTTTCCTTTAGTTCTTTGAACATATTTAAAATAGCTACTTTAAAATCTGTTTGCCAAATTCAGCATCTGGGTCCACTTGGGAGGTTTCTGTTGACTACTTTAAAAAAAGTTTCTTTGCATTTTTTATTTTGCTAATTGCATTCTTACTGTGTCTGTTAATGTGTTCCTCTGCCTCTTGTTTTTCCTATAAACTAATACATAGTTAGATCTATAGACTTGGTTAGTTGTAAGTTTGATTTTGTTTGTTTGTTTTGGCAACAATACTTATTAGGTAATGGTACTTTTAAGAGATACACAATATCTAGTTGTCTCTCTTTATTTTGAAGTGAATAGTGATCAGAGAGAGAGTGGAGTTATTGTATATCCATTCCCATCTATTATAAAGTTCTGCATCAGCTCTTTACCTAATAGTGTTAACAGACATTAATGATCATTGCTTAGGAATCCATTCATTCAGTGGATAGCGGGGGATAAAGCTTGTTTTTAATAAAATATCTCATAAATTCATTCTGATAATTCTAAAACAGACTTGATGATACAGATTTTTTTACTTAACCTCATTGATCTTACATTTGTATCCTTTAAACTGTGACAAAAGTCTTTTTGTTCAGTGACACAAAATATTTACTTTATTCTACAAAATGCCCACAACAGTCTCAGAATACAGTACCAAAATCAGCAACAATATGGTTACTGAAAATTGTTTAAGATTGTGTTTTTTCAAGGTTCCATTTATCCTTATGGTTTATCCTACTAGAGATGTCCAGTCAGGTTACTATAGTTTAAAGTTACCACTCTGTGGCTATGCCACCAACTGGATATACACATTTTAGTTTGTTTCACTTTACTTTTTAGAGATTACTTTTTCTTTTAAAATTTATTTTTTCTTTATTTTATGTAAACTATTTACATGATTACAAAGTCATATATATATATATAATAATCTAGCTCCTATTACTACCGTAGTCCTCCCTTCCCTCATAGTTAACCATTCTTAGGTTTGAATTTTTGGTTTATCTTTACATTGTTTCTTAATATATGTAAATGTGTCTGTGTCTGTGTGGTTTTATCACCCCTTTTTATAGATAAATGGTAGCATACTATTCATTTTTTATTGCACTTGCTCCCCCCCCCACTTAATAGTGTATCCAAGAGATCACCATGTAGTCATGTATAAGGATCTTCCTTATTTCTTCTTATAGGGCCTAGTGCTTTATTGTGTGGATGCACCACAGTTTATTCAACTAGCTTCCTACTGGTGGACATTTGGGTTATTTCCAGTCTTTTGCTATTACACAAATTGCTGCAGTGAATAGCCTTGTACATACATATGTCTCTTCATACTTTTGCCCAAGTAGTTTAGAAAAGATCCCTAGAAGTAGAATTGCTAGTAAAGGACAAGTTACGCAATTTCACTAAATATTCCCCTATTTCATTCTGTATGGGTTGTATGATTTCAAATTTCCACAGCTGTGTATGAAAATACCTATTTATTTACAGTTTCACCAGCATAGTATATTGTCAAACTTTTGGATTTTTGCCAGTCTGATAGGTAAGAAATGATGTATCTGTAGTTTTAATTTGCCTGTCTTTTATTTTACGAATGGACTTTTCTAGTGTTTAGGAGCCATTCGTATCCATTTTTTCTGTATGCTTTTTATAGATATAGCCAATTTTTGCGATAGGATTGTTAACCATTTTCTTTATTTTTAGAAGCTCTTCATACATTAGACATATTGATCTTTTTTTTTGATATAAATTACGGTTCTCCCCTTGTTTGTCTTTTTCACTTCCCTTAAGGTACTTTTTTGTCTTGGTGGTTTTAATTGAAGTTCCTGTTTAATAAATAAGCCTGGACATGTGAGGAGCCCAATATTTTATGTGACCATGTTATCCCTGGAGTGTATCTCATTCTATTCAGTTATTTTTTATGAATTCCACTCTTATTTTTCTGTAGCTATTAAGCTTCCTATATTATGAAGTCTGGGCCTTCCTATGGCAATATGGAAGGCAGCAGGTCTGCACACGTGTCTATCACTATAAGTATTTAAATGAACAGTTAAGTACTCTTTACAGAATATACATTAAGTGCTGCTTAGAAAAGAAATAGTAGATGCATTCTTTTTCTTTGGCAGCCTGTATGGAGCCCAGGCTTTTCTACATGCTTACTGTACTTAAGATAAAGCTATTTCAAGATGTTTTAAACTACCAAATACTCTTGGTAGCAAATATTTTGCAAGCTTCTCTCAGCCTATTTCTAACACCTCTGAGCTACAAATAATTCTGTGTTAATTCATTTAGCTTTGGCTCCCTTTCATGGAGTCAGCTGCTGAAAATTTCTGCGGATTTTGAGGACACAGCATATCTTCTCCTTTGTTTCCCTCTAAAATCTAACTTGAGGGACTTTGTTCCAGTTGGACTTGGAAATAGCAGAGCAGTTTATCTTTTGAAATGAGACTTCTGTGTTGTGGATTCCAGTCTTTTCATCTGTTTTAGCAAAATGTCGTAGGAATTGGTTTGAAGGGATGCTTTTCTACCTTTGAGCTTTACAATCATAGCTGCATTGACACCCCCCACCCCCACCTCCCAAAGCCAAGTATAAGTCACTGAGAGTCCAGAGTGGACAAACTAGGGCTAATATGTTGAGTGACAATGAAATATCCAAATGAAGTGTCCAGAAAGTGCCACATGTATTGATCTGGAGTTTGAAACAAAGATCATGAATTCACATCTCTATAGATTATAGAATCAGAATTTTAAAGGTGCAAGCGATACTAGAAAATCATTTAACTCATTCTCATGCAACTGAGAAGTCTGAAGCTCAGTTGTCTGATTTGCCTAAGAGGAGCATAACTAGACTTTGGAGTCATCTGCCGGAAGGAAGCTTATAATTAAAGCTGTAAGAGAGGTTCTCTGAGGGAGAGTGGGAGCACCATAGAGCACCCAGTTAGGAATATGCAGGGGGTACAGTCCCCACCAGGAGACCAGATGTGATGGTTGGATGTTAGCTGGGACATTGGGAGAATGGAATCACAAAGGCAAAGGAGGAAAGAATTGCCATTAGTGGATAGTCCATGGAGTCATCTTACCTAGAAGTCAGGAAAGAAGAAAGGATACTGAATTCGATCACTAGGAGAGCTTGGTAAATATCAAGAGTGCAATTTCTGCAGAGTGGGAGGCGGGATGAACAAAAGAGTGCTGAGGAATTAAGGCAACAGAAAATTAAATTTTGGCGAGTGATAGGAAATAGTAAATAGTGAGGACAGAAGCAACGATGGTAGTGTTTCTTGGGAAGGCCATTCTTGTTTTTAGGTTTGAGGGGAAAGAAGTGAATGCTAAGGAGGTAAAAATAAATATAAATGGGAAGCAGCAGAACCCACTAGTCATCCCCTCTTCCAACAGCTCACCTTTATTGAGCAGTATATTATATACCAGGTACTATTGAGATGTCTTTACATGTAATAATTCATTTAATTCTCCAAACTCTATAGGGTCAGTACTATTATCTCTATTTTATAAAGGAGGAAACTGAGGCAGGTTTACTTACCTGAAGTCATGATGACTTCAGTTGGTGGCACCACCAAGGTTCAACTCCAGTCTGGCTCCTTGAAATCTCTGCTCTGAATCAGCAAACTGCTGCCACCCTTCCAGTTGTAAATGTTGTTCAGAAAAGGATTTTAGTTCATTACAGAAGTAAACTGGAACCTGAGAATTATTGGGTCTAAAAATATTATACATTTTGTATGTATGTATTATAAAAGGCACTTGAATAATAATCATGATGATTTCAATATTCTTCCTTTTAGGTTGTGCATTATGTGTGACTCTTCCAATGAGTTTATTAAATTTTTACAGGTAAGTATTTTATTTTTTAGTTGGGTAGGAAATAAAATCCTTAGAAATTGTTATTTAGATTAATTTTAGGATCTCTTTTCCTTTTGGAATCTGGACATTTCGAAAAGGTGGTGAAACCTGTACTTGAACTAGGATGAGGTTCGGATAATTAGTCTCGGTGGTGGCTGTGTACAAAACTGCTCGTTCTTGTTCTTTTGTTACAGTTTTGGGCTCACCAGACAGTTTCTAATTTGTCATTTTTTGTAAGTGAATCTATCCACAGGAAGGCTATTCCTGTTGAATGTTGATACATTTACATTCTGTTTTTATAAATTATCTCTAAGTTTACTTAGCATGATCATAAAAGACAGACAAACAAAAGGAAACAAAAGACTTCTGAACTTACGTAGTTTAGGACCAAGCCCTAGACCTGTGCTGCCTCTTCTCAGGTGGCATCATATAGAAATTCCTGCCTGGGGAGGAGTGGGGTTTGGGGAGGGAAGTTGCCCAGGTGGTTTCATTTTTCCGATCTATGCACTTCCCCACCTTTGTGCGGCCGCGTTGGGTTTCTTTTTGCAATCTGAATATATTCTGCTTTTTCCTTCCTCAGTATTTTTGCTCCTATTGTTTCCTGTACTTGAGAAAAATGCTCTTGTACCTCCTACTTCATCCTTCAGGTCTCAAATCTGTCTGCAGAATCCTCTCCATGTCAAGCCAAGCTCTATGAATCTTCTCTGTTTATTGCAGCTGGCAGTCATTCATAGGAACCATAAAGTTTAAAGCTCTGAAGGCTGCAGAGCTTTATTTGAGTTATTTCCCCCCTATCTTGTAAAGATGAGGTCCTGCTCTGGCCGATTTTGCTCAGTGCTTAGAGCATCGCCTGCAAACTAAAGGGTCCCGGGTTGGATTCCGGCCAAGGGCACGTACCTTGGTTGCTTGGTTGCAGGCTCAATCGCCAGCTGGGGCGCATGTGGGAGGCAACCAGTCCATGTGTCTCTCTCACAGCAATGTTTCTCTCTCTCTTCCTTCCACTCTCTCTGAAAAGCAATGAAAAAAATATCGTTAGGTGAGGATTAAAAAAAAAAATGAGGTCCTGATTGGGCAACATCTTGGCCAAGGGCATGCAGTCAGTGGCAGGAGCGGGGCTAGAATTTGGGGCTCTGTGCAGATGAGCAGATGTGCCTCGGGACCCTAGAGGCGATCAGCAGTCTCATTTCAGAGTCTTCCCGTGAATTCTCTTGCACTTTAAGTTCTGTGTCACTTGTATCAGAGCAGCACTGTGAGGTCCTCTCCTCGTATTGCTTTGTGTTCATTTTATTTTCCCTATTCGAATATAATCTCATAGAATGGTGATTTTCAACCTTTTTCATCTCATGGCACACATAAACTAATTGCTAAAATTCTTCAGAACTCCAAAAAACATTTTATTTTTTGCCGATCTGACAGTAAAAAAAGGTATAATATCTATTCATTCACACTGGACAGCTGTTGTTGTCTTGGCTGTTGTCATTTTTTTTTTTTCTTTTTCATTGAATTTATTGGGGTGATATTGGTTAATAAAATTATATGGGTTTCAGGTTGTTGTCACTTTTTTATTTGACAATCTCAGGGAAAAGAGGTCAGTGCCCCTGACTAAATAGGTATTGCGTGTTTTAAAAATTCTGTGGCACATGGGTTGAAAATCTCTGTCATAGAACAAAGACCAAGTTTTATTCATTTTTACATTCCAGGGGTAAAAATGGGACTGGACTGGGTCAGAGGACTTTAGTTCTAGTCCTGGCCCCGCCACTTGGTAGCGAGTTATGTAAATTTAAATTCTTACACCCTCACTTGAGCTGTCTGTTAAAATGGGGTTAGTAGTGTTAATTCTTACCTATGCCATAGGATTGTGGTGTGTATAAAACTAGAGAGTAAGTTTGAAACTACTTTAAAACTGTAAAATACAATTATAAGTTTTATATGTAATAATGTTCTTTGTATTACTTGATTTTTTTCCAGAAGCTATAAAAATAACACCTTGAAACACAGTTCAGTCTATGAAGCTCTGGTCCCCTTCTATTCTCCATGTTTGCTGTTCGTTTTGTCTACAGTGTGGATCCTCCAGTCACCTTCAGATATTTTAGAGATGCACCCTAGAGTATTCTACTTTATGGTGGGAACAGCCTTTGCCAATATCACAGTAAGAATTTTCTTCTAAAAACCATAATATATGTAAGGAATATATAACCGAATTGATCATTTCAGAAACCTTATACAGATTAGAACAAACACATTTTAATTTAAAGCTGTTTTAATTCAAAATTTGAAAACATCATAACCTCGAAGACAGAACATGCTGAAATTATTTCATTTTTCCCTTTGAATCCAGTAGGATTTAGAGATGGCAGTAGCATTTTGGAACCATAGCATACTTGAATATTTTTATTTGGTTGTCTGCTGAAGAGTTCATGGAATAATTTATAGATTCCTTTTAGACTGTAAATATTGTTAACAGCGTCGTTGAAATGGCAACAGATCTAATGATTAGTTTAGGGAACTTGAAAGGGGCCTTTGTGAGAGAGAAAACACATCACACACACACACCTCCCACACTTTTTTTAATCAACTTATTTTTAAATTAAGAACATGGAATTATGAACTATGTAATAAATACAATATATGTTTAAAAATCAGGAGTTGAGAAAAGACCCTGATAGTTTGTTTTTTTTAAAAAAAATATATCTTACTGATTTCAGAGAGAGGAAGGGAGAGAGAGAAACATCAATGATGAGAGAGTCATTGGTCGGCTCCCTGCTGCACGCCCCCTACTGAGGATCAAGCCCATAACCCGGGCATGTGCCCTGATGGAGAATCGAACCACAATCTCCTGGATCATAGGTCAATGCTCAACTGCTGAGCTACCTCAGTCAGGCGAGACCCTGATTGTTTTGACAGCCAGGGGAGCCTGTGCTCCTGCTCAGGCCAGGTCCTTAATGCATTTTTTATTTTCTTACTTAGCCACCGAGCTTATGTTTCCATGTATAAAAAGTATTTATGAAAGAATAAAATGATATTTGAGTAAGGTGTTGAAAGTAAAGGGAGCCAAAGAGGCTGTGAGGTTCTAATACGGTAATAAAACTGAATGGGAGGGAGGTAGTAGCTCATCTCCATGAAGAAATGTCGTTGTGGGGGGGGTGGGGAGGCTGTTTTGAAAATTAAAAAATAACAATATTAAAATTGGGAGAAACTTTTACCAAGTGAAAGAATGTCTTCTATAGCATCCTTACTAAATGATCTTATACTCTTCTGACACACACATGGCCTGAGGGGCCACAGGTTTGGGGGTGGGGGCAGAAACCCAGTTGTCCCTTGATTAGTGGAGACTACTCAATGTAATGTAAATATGTTGGCTCAAGTAGTTGAATGCGTCTTAAATGTTGGAGTGAAAAGTTTTGAAAGTGGTTTGCTAATTAAATTTTTATCCCCCCCCCCTTTTTTTTTTTTACTGACTTCAAGTGTCAGCTGATTGTTTGTCAAATGAGCAATACCAGGTGTCCAACTTTGAATTGGTTGCTGGTTCCTCTCTTCTTGGTTGTCATGGTGGTAAACTTCGGAGTCACTTCTTACATTGAGAGCATTCTTCTGTATACATTAACAACTGCTTTCACTCTGGCCCACATCCATTATGGAGTACGAGTGGTGAGTAATCTAGAACAAAATTGGGTCCATTTGGTTCTTATAAATAGTGGAAAGAAGGTGAGGGAAAATTTTAAAAGAAAGTTTGCTTATTATAGTAGCTGGAAAAGTTTTGGTATATTCTCTAAATTTTCTATAATATCCACATGTGTAGTTTTAGATGTTGTTTCTCTAATGAATATGTTATAATAACTACAAATAATTTAAAAGCTGGATAATTGTTATAAGGAATTATTTCTTGTTTTTAAGTTGGCAGAAATGTAAACCAACTTATGTTCTTGGTAAATAGAATTATAAACTCTTTTGCCCAGCCAGTGTGGCTCAGTAGTTGAGCATCGCCCTATTATCCAGGAGATCAAGGTTTGATTCCTGGTTAGGCACATGCCTGGGTTGTGGGCTCAATCCCCTGCAGGGCGTGTGCAGGAGGCAGCTGATCAATGACTCATATTGATGTTTTTCATTTTTTAAATTTATCTTTATTGTTGAAAGTATTACAGCTATACCCCCCTTTTTCCCCATTGATCCCTTCCACCCGGCATTGAAGCCCTCCCCCAGGCCTTCAACCACACTATTGTCTGTGTCCATGGGTTATGCATTATTTGCATAAAAGTTCTTTGATTAATCTCTCCCCCCCCACTCCCTCACCCCGCCTTCCCACTGAGATTCATCAGTCTGTTCCATGCTTCTGTGTCTCTGGATCTGTTTTGTTTCTCAGTCTATTTTGTTTATTAGATTCCACATATGAGTTAGATCATGCAAGACTGAATCAGGAGGAATCAGAAAACCTGGATAGGCCAATAACAACTGATGAAATTGAAGCAGTAAAAAAAAAACTCCCAGCAAACAAAAGCCCTGGTCCAGACAGCTTCACAGGGAAGCTTTCTAATTCTTTTAAGTTGTAGGGTTAGATAGTTTACTAAAAATTTTTCTTGCTTTTTGAGGTGGGCCTGTAGTGCTATGAACTTCCCTCTTAGGACTGTTTTCGCTGTGTCCCATAGATTTTGGGCTGTTGTGTGCTCATTTTCATTTGTTTCCACGAAATTGTTGATTTCTTTCTTGATCTTATTGGTAACCCATTCATTGTTTAATAACATGCTATTTAGCCTCCACATGTTTGAATGTTTTTGAGTGTTTTTACTGTAGTTGATTTCTAATTCCATGCCCTTGTGATCTGAGATGCTTCATATGATTTCAGTCTTCTTGAACTTGTAGAGACTTGTTTTGTGTCCTAACATGTGGTCTGTCTTTGAGTATGACGCATGTGCACTTGAGAGGATTGTATATTCTGCAGCTTTGGGATGAATAAATAGTTCTGTAAATATCAATTAAATCCATCTGATCTAGTGTGCCATTTAGAGTCACTGACTGTTTCTGTGTTGACATTTTGTCTGGAAGATCTATCCAGTGAATCCAGTGGGGTGTTAAAGTTCACGACTATCACTGTATTGCTGTTGATCTCTTCCTTAAAGTCCTTAAGGTTACTATTGATAGGTTCTTATTTATTGCCATTTTAATTCTTTATGCCTGAGTTTCTCTCTTTATTATTACAGCAGTCCTTTTAACATTTCTTGCAATGCTTCTATTTCTACTTCTAATTACAGCAGTCCCTTTAACATTTCCTGTAGTGCTGGTTTGGTGGTGATAAATTCATTTAGCCTTTTTTTGTCTGGGAAGTTCTTTATTTCCCCATCTATTTTGAATGCTAGCCTTGCTGGAAAGAGTAGTCTTGGTTTGAGATCCTTGTTTTGCATTACCTTGAATACTTCTGCCATTCCCTTCTGGCCTTTAGAGTTTCTGATGAGAAGCCAGCTGACAACCTTATGGGAGCTCCTTTGTAGGTAACAGATTGCTTTTCTCTTGCTATCTTTAATAATCTGTCTTTGTCTTGAATTTTTGGCATTTTAATTATGATGTGTCTGGGGGGTGGGCCTCTTAGGGTTCTTCTTGCTTGGGACTCTGTTCTTCCTGAACTTGTGTGACTTTTTTCTTGACCAGGTTAGGGAAGTTTTCTGCCATTATTTCTTCAAACAGGTTCTCTAGCCCTTGCTTACTTTTGACCTCCTCTGACATTCCTATGATGTGAATATTATTGTGTTTCATGTTGTCCCACAGCTCCCTTGGACTGTCCTTTTTTTTTTTTTTTTTAAATTGTTTTTTTCTATTTGGATCTCTAATTGAATGATTTTTTTCTACCCTGTCCTCTAATTCTCTGATCCAGTCTTCAGCTTCCTCTAATCTGCTGTTTATTGCTTCCAATGTATTCTTTATTTCTGCTATGTCCTTCTTCATTTCTGACTGGTCATTTTTCATAGTGTCCATATCTTTTTTCATGCTGTTGAGCATCCTTACAATCAGTATTCTGAACTCTATATCTGATAGATTGCTTATCTCCATTTCATGTAGCTGTTTTTCTGGAGACTTTTCTTGTTCTTTCATTTGGGGCTTGTTTTTCAGTCTCCCCATTTTGGCTGCCTATTTGGGTTTGTTTCTATGTATTAGGTAGACCTGCTAGGACTCTCAGTCTTTTTGGAGGGTCTCTGGTGCAGGCCAATGTCAGACACTGTTTGTGACTGACCTTTAGTACCCTGTTTACACATATCAACAAACCACAGCTTGAGGTACCCTCTGCTGTGGCTGAGTGCGTTTGGACGTCACCAAGATGCACACCAAGGTCTGCTTTTCCAAGGCCTGGATCTAGCAGCAGATCAGGCAAAGACTCAGCACTCTGAAGTCAGCCTCTGCCTGCAGGCTGATTAATCTGATTCTCTTAATGAGCCTTAGTGAGGCTGTAGAAACCACCAGGTAGGGCAAGAGGTTTTCCAGCAGGGTGGGGCAATTGCTTCCCCCTCAAGCAAAAGCTGCTTGGAAGGTAAATGTATGCCTCTGCAGTCTGGAGGAATGACTAGGCACAGGAATCTAGAGGGATGCCCTCTGAGCTCTGTCTTCAGAACCCACGACCCCAGATTCTCCTCACACAGCTCCAGTCCACTCAGCCCTCCTGCTGGAGCCCAAGGTGAGTGGCTGCACATGAAACTTTGTGCATTGGCCCTTTAAGAGGGTGCCTGCATTTCCAGCTGTCTCTCCCTGACAGACAGAAACCCAGCTGCTTTTCACAGCCAGATGTTATGTGGGCACCTTTCTCAGGTCTGGTGCTCTTGGCTGGGAAGCCTAGACTGGAGTTTAAGCCCCAGAATCCTCAGTGGGAATCCCCCACAGCTGAAATATCCCTCCAGACCTTCAGCTGCTGCCTGTGGGAGCCCAGCCAGCCCTCTCGTGCCTCTGCACTTCCTACCAGTCTCTGTGCGGTCTCCACTTTTCCTCCTTGGCTATGTGGGTGCTCCCCAGCTCATCTTCAGTTGCAGTTGATTATTCAGGATGGTTTTTCTATATTTCAGTTGTGATTCCAGTTTGGTCCTGGGAGAGTGTCATTGTAGCTTCCATTCAGTCCGCCATCATCTTTAATCCACTCATCATTGATGTTTCTCTCTCTCTTTCTGTCTCTGAAATCAATAAAAATACATTAAGAACAAAAAAAAGAATTATAAACTCTTTTGTGCTTTTAATTATACAAGACTAGATAATTTCATTTGTTGATTATTTTTTTGTGTGTTTCTTTAGCTTTAGGGGCATTTTTGTTGCTCTTTCACATAATTTGGAGAGAAACCGAAATTGGTTTTGTAGCACTGCCTCCGTCCCTCCTCCTGCCTGTGGTAAGGGAGATTAGAACTTCAGACTTAAGGAAGGCCTTTGCATTATTTGAAGTTTTACTTAATCTGTGCTATTTCTGAGTTCTCATCAGGAAAAATAATAAGGCGAAATATAGAAGAGAAAGGATTTAAGAAATATTATGCAAACTGTAATAGTCTCTTTTAAAATAAGAAACTAGTTTTGTTACCAGACAGGGGACCTGGCCCTGAGGGACTCTGCCTATAGCCAGCCAGTAGTTATGGGTTCTTGACTTCTTGCAGGAAAAATTTCACAACACGAGTCCAGGTGACTATGAGGGAACATTTATTAAAGTTGGGGATAGTACAACAGAAAAGTCTTAGCATAGAAGAAGCACCAGGAGAACCTAGGCTGGGCTGCCTTAGCCCTCTGGGAAGTCAGAGAAGAGTCCTTGGGAACAGGTTCAAGGGTTAGCCTGGGATAAGCTGCTGCTGTCCATTGCTCCACTAGTTGCAAGTCTCCTGGGTCCCTTAGAGTTTAGGAGATGCATGCCTGTGCCGGAAGAAGAGGGGAAAGGGAATGGGGGCATGCTGTTCCCCAGAGGGAGAGTGCTGGGTCCTTGGTCTTGAGGCTTTTATCTCTTTCTCACAGATGAGAATCTTAGGGGAGGTCTTGGGAGGGTTTCAGCAGAATATTCATCAGTTTTCTAGGTGTGCTCCTTCAGGGTTGTAGTCTCCACTGATTGGTCAGTGTCAGGGCAAGGGATCATTAGTCACTGCAGATGGTCCTGGTGTCATCCACTTGGTTTTGCTGTTTTTCTGGGCCTGGAGCTGAAATACAACTGAGGCCTAGATGTTATCTCTAGAGAGGTGACCTTCAGTATCTGCTGTAAATTGCTTGGCCAGTTTGTTCAGCTGTCTCAGTTTTCCAATTCCCCTTTTCCTGGCTTCCTTGTCTGTCTCAGTTTCAGGACAAATGAACTAAGATCTAATAAAATGAAAATTAGATACATGCAGTTTATTTTCTTTTTCATCACACTTTAATATTCTTTTCTAATTATTTTACATAGTTTAGTATGGTCTCATAATTATGATTTTTTAGTGGTATAGCATATTCTATCAAGGAGATAGCTTAATAGTAACCCAATTTACTTAATCATTAGTTATTTTAATAATTTCGGTTGTTTCCAAATTTTCACTGTTATAAATAATGTTGGGGGAAACAATCTGGAATAATATTTTTTTCTTTCATTTGCTTTATTTTCTGAGGATACTTTCATAGGAGTGCGGTTATGCAGAAGACTATTCACACTTTTATGTCTCTTAAATTCTTTTTGGTATGCTTGTTTTGAAAGGAACCCTGCTGTGAATCAATTTGAGAAACAATTATATTTTGTTGTTCATATTTATAAAATGATAACTTTATATTTTGTATTTGTTGCTAAACTTAGGTTTTCTCCCCCAAAGTAGCCCACATTTGTTGGGACAAAGTGGATGAAATTGTTATGGGAATAAGTCATGATAAGTCTATGAATTATGATATGAAGACATAACTATCTATGTTTTTATTTGTGCACATTTAAATTATGCTTTATAGCAACACTCGTAGGCCTTTATCCTAATATGTCATCAGTCACATGCATGAAGTGGAACACAGTTGCCAAGGTCTCTTGTAATTGTTTTAATTTATTATGACCCTTCAGAAACATATCTTCAGAAAATCATACATACATCAAACTAAACCGAAACACATTTTCTTTAAATTATCAAGGTACTACATTTTCTTTGTTAAAAATCTGGAAAATAAATACAAGCTAACTGAAAGAAATTCCAGGAGCATCTTTTTTGTCTGTCTTTGTGCTCTCTTCCCACTTCTACAACTTCTGACCAGAAGGTAAATCTTGCTAAGTTGTACAAAACATTCACTTGAACTATTGAAATATAAATAATACAAATAAGAATAGAAATAAGAAATATCAAACAAATGATATTTACTAACTGGCACATAACCAAGTTCTTATGTACCCATAAGATACCATAACTAATATGGCCTAAACCTCCCAAAATTTACAGATCTAGTTTTAAACTGTTTCATCAGGGTTAGGAATGATTACCTAGAAATGTCATAAAAAGCTGAATATTGAGTCTGTGTATGTAAATATTTGATCTACTAGATGGTCTAAATCAACTAACCCTATAATTCTTCAGTAGATTTGATGTGAATCTATATGGTCTGCAGGGCTCTGAAAAGACTAGAACAATGGAGTTAGGCAGACCCAGGTTTAAGTCCTGATTTTGTTTAGCCATCTAGGTCTATAGCTATCCTCACCCAGAAAAACCTTCATTATTTCTAATGATTTTTGTTGTGTCAGTAAATTGTTGTGTCCAGAGGGTGAATTCTGTGCTTTAAAAAAATAATTAGGTACATATTTGTCATTGCCTCCTGTTCTGGTTTTCTATAGGTAAAGCAACTGAGCAGCCATTTTCAGATTTACCCCTTCTCATTGAGGAAACCCAACTCGGATTGACTAGGAGTGTAAGAAAACAGTATTGGCCTGTAATCCACAGAAGGAAGTACTATAAATAAGATGCTTGTAAATATTTCATCTATCACCATTGAACTAAACTGATCTGCTTACAGACATGGGAACTCTGCGCGTGGTACTTGTACAGCAGGAATGACATATATAATCTGAAATGTGGTATTTTGAACCTACTAACTCCCACCTTATTTTATTTTTTATAAAACCATGTGATGTTTTGGTTAAGCATAATGTACATTAGACCAGCAAAATGTTTGTAGTGATTTTAGATTCATGAGTCCATAATGTTTTGGTTCATACAGAGTTAAAGATGCTTTATTTTTATTATTTTTAAAACTCCCAAATTGGTTTAGAGCACTGATAACATTCAGAAAACCACAATATGGTTTCATATTTGGTACTCAGTAGTAGGTTATGTGCTGTGGAAGCCGTCTAACATAGGGAAAAGAGAAGAGTAAGTCACCTTCAGCAAGAGATGCCAAATGATTACAGAACAATATACAGGTCTGCCAACATAGCAGTTTCCCTTTCCCATGGAATGCCCTGGTCCTCCTGTGCTGAGAGCTAACATACATGCTTAGATTCTTTAGTGTCCTGGCTCTCTCTGTTATGGAACAGAGCTTGGTCAGTGGTTTGGTTTTCTTTTAAAGAAACGTATTCTGTTGAGACTCAGTAAAGAATGGGTTGTAATTGTAGCTCCGCATTGGCAGGGTTCACTGTTTAAATGTGGCATTTCCCCCCTCGGCTGCAAGTTGCTGAGATTTGGTGCCTGTGAACTATGATTAAATGAATGGCTTGTGCCAGTGCGAGTCTTATGATAATTACTTGTGAGGAATACAGCTAAACTTCCTTATTAGAGAAATTTACTTTGGACTTAGGACTCTCATGAACCTCACTATGAAATTCCTACTGTTGAACCTCACTACAAAATTAGTTTTGTGATTCAGTTTGTCCTTTCTTCCCTTCCCTCCCTCTCCCTCTTCCTCTCCCTCTTCGTGGAGGAGAGAGTGCTGTATTTTTAATTTCATTCAGGATAAAGAAGTAGAAATTCTCCCTTCTCCAACTTACCCACCTCCCCACTTGAAGAAAATTTTTGATATATATGCCTTACTGAGTATATACTCTCTTTAATATACTTGGAGTAATTTTTGAGGTTTACTGACAAGCATCAAGATCTCTTTGACTTTAATGTGATTGTTTAATAGATCATACCTTTTCATGAATGTGGATATTTTTTTCTATTTCTTTTTTCCTTTGTCTCTACTTTGGTGGTGGTGAAATTTACTTCCTGATTTTCTTCTGTTTTCTACTGAATGAAGTTTGTGCTTGAATGAAGAGTGTATCTTAAACCCTTTTTTTTGGATGGATTGCACTTGGATAAAATAGGCACCACTGTGTTGATATGTAATTAAATTCATAACCATTATTTATCTATGAATGTGACCATTTTAAAATTTAATTACAGTGTATTACTTTGTTGAGCTTGTCTGCTGCTTTGTAAAAATAACTGTGTAATTGATATTTCAATTTTTAAATTTTTAAATTCTAATAATTGTCATCTAGGTTATTAGAAATGAAGAGTCCAGGAGCTAACTCATGGTTCTGACTCATTTTTAAAAATGTTTGTAAAGGTTGAGGTATATTCAGTGACTTTCTCTGAGACAAAAATGAACACTGAAAATAGATGAGAAATTGTGCCGGAAAATGTGGGTAGTGATTCCATGTTTGTTGGTAAGTTGCCATCGTAGAGGTCAGTTAAGTGAAATTAATGTTATTTTTTGTATACCTTGTTCTGTGTCATCCCCAAAATTCAACTGGATAAAGTGTTCATTTGGGCTGGGAACAAAGCTTTGTTTCAAAGTTTCTAAGCTAATCAATTTACTGTTTTGTTTACCTTGTACCCAAGAATGAGACTAATCTGTATTATATAAGAAAGGAACTGATAAATATTTATAAAATGACAAATTTGGACCATAGGCTTTCTCCACCTTTTATAGCATAGTAAGAAAATACCTCTTACTTGTGGCATGGGGTCATGTCCTGTAACTTGGGGCTTTTACCTTAAAGTGTGTTTCTGCTCTCTTTCTGTTTTATCAAGTTTATTTGAAGATTGTTTCGTGCCTGTATTTTATGACTTATTTCTCTGTGGCGGTAAAGAATTTGCCAGTCAGTTTTATTGACATCCTTAGATGAAAGAAAGGTGGCCATCAGCAAGGCGAAAGCGAAACTGAGTCATGAACGAACTGTTTCAAAGTGCTGTGAACGTGGGCGTCTGGGTGCGCTCCCCCTCTCCTCCTCGGCCTAGTCTGCCGCTTGAAGTGCATCTTGAAAGCCCCCATTTCTTAGGCAGTGATGGGGCGGCTGAGCAGGACTTAGCTACAAGTAGCTCTGTGCATTTACCTCATGCCAGATGCCATAACACTTCCAAAGGACAGAAGATACTTGAGGCTTATGTGTGATGTTTTGGGGTGAGTTCACACCTCAGCCTTTCTCCCAGCATACACTGAGCTGCCTTTGGGGGAGCAGTGGGATGGCTGTCACCCATACTTGTTTTCTGTATAGTTCAAAACAGGGTGCCTTAGCCAGGCCAGAGGTTTACTTTGTGTTTCTGCTGACCAAAGTTACCTAGACCTGTAAGAGAAGTTTCTTTTCAGGTTATGGTAAGAAAAATGTCTTTTCTTGCTTGTCAGAAAATAATTCCCCTCTACTTGACGGGGGCACAGGATAGAAAAATTAGAAAATACCTGGATAGAGTATGTTAATGCTGCCCTTTGTGGTCCTTTAATAACACGATCTTAGTGCAGTGCATTGCCTAAAATCGTTACAATTTAAATTGTCATTCCTCCACCAACACATAATAAATAGAGTTTATGGATTTTAGTCTTAAGGGTGATAGAGTGAATAGCTTCCAAGTAAAAAACTAAATAATCTTCCTTCATATTTAATATCATGGCTAACATGCTTTTAATTCTAATTTTAAAGGAAAGTTAAATGCTGATTATGGTCAAGAATGTTATAGTACTTCTACCAACATGCCATTTGTTTTAATATAGAGCTATTGGGAAGATAACTGTATGTCTAGAGTTACCCAAATTCTAAATTAGATACCAAAAGAGTATTGATTGTGACCTGGAGCCTGGGCATGGGGCATAGCGGAGGAAAAAGCATGTGTCATATCTACTTAAGAGAAGTAGGTGTCACCGGAATGCCTCATACCCTCAGGGCCCAGTGATTATCTGTTTAAAATGGTCACAATTTAGCTCCTCATTCCTCCACTAATTTCAGATTCAAAGTGAATTTGAAAGTTTTCTAAGTGTTTAATTTTCAAAGAATTCCTTTATTTTGTAGTCAGTCATAATGCATTTGGAGTGTACCTTACTTTTCAAAGGAGACTTTGATTCTATAACCTCTCCAGAGTAAAAGATAATCTGAAGGTGCTTGAATCAAAGGCCACTCTCCCCTTTGTATTTTACCAAGAAGTCTGTCCGTAACTCTTCCTCTTCGGGCTTCACCTGGGTTTCATTTTATCTAGCCACTGCCTAGGACAGAGATGCCCACTTGCTCTGTTGCCCCAGTTCTTGCCACATTCAAATCTCCTTGATTGCCTTAGATATCTTGTCTCATCAAGGATGGGAACGTGCCAGAGGGAACAAAGTAAACCTGATGGGCTAGAACGTTGGACTTTGGGTCCCCAAATTAGCCAAAAACAGATAGAGAAATGTTTGGTTGTGTTGATTCCTGTGTTCAGAGTGGCCTTTCTCTTGGCCTCAGTTCTGGACTTGATTGAGCACTTATAGGAAATTTATGGTCAGACTAGAATTTTCTTTGTCCTTTGAGATTTCTTTGTAGGGCAGTGTGCCCTTTCTTGAACACCCTGTGGGTGAATAACCTTATTAAGTTAGCTGCCAGTACTAGAACCTTCTAGGAATTTTAATTAGTATGCTGCATCTGAAGCACTTTGACATGCTGTTTTTACATTTAAAGTGACAGTTTAAACAGTAAAGTGGTGGTAAATTAATCACTGTGAAACTCGAGAGTGTGATGCTCTGCATTTTAGGAAGCATAAGTAGATTCTGTTTTTTAAAAATTAATTATGAAACCCATGTGATTTGTATATTTTACTTTTCATCTTTGACAGTGGTTCAAATGACTGATCTATTGGCAGGCAGCTACTTTTTGGGTATATGGTAAATCATGGTTGTTTAACTTTTCCAGAGAAAGTGGCTATGTGTTTACTTTTTCCTTGTGTGGAGCCATGGGAATCGGATTTATTGGCAAATTCATTTCCAGTCTTTCTACAGTGCAAAATAAATGTAACCTTTTTAACCTGCATGCTGGTAATATGCTCTGCTTTTTTAGTAAACAAATATACAAAAGAGTAATCTGGCTGATTTTTTTGTTTGTTTTTAAGCAGGGACCTGCTCTTTATACAGACAGATCTCAAATAAGCTAATATTTAGGGTAGCAAAAGCAGTTTTGTCATTTGTAGCCCTCTCATAGGTGGCCTGAGCAAGGGGGTTGTGTTGCATTGGGTCAGAAAGGCCATGTTCCCAGAATTGGTGATACTTGGACTGATTTTAGGATATTTTAATACGGGCTTGTCCCCTTAGGAAAGTCCATTTGGACACAACAGGCGTGTCTGGTCTTCTGCAGACCATTCACACTGCCTTAGTCTTCAAGGATCATTAGAACGCCAGGCTAAATCAGAGTGGTGCTGTTTTTATAGCATGTGAGTTGGATCATGGCCAGAGTCCCTCATGCTACACTGAAATTAGAGACAGGGTTGAAGACACCAGGAGTGGCTAAATGCTGTGGGTGCCTAATGGCTCTTTGGCTACAGTCTTCTCTTGAGTAGTTTCTGTGGGTAACAAAATCAGAATTACCTTTTTTTTATTAAAACACACACAGTTCTGCATGAATTTTAGATTCTGGCATTCTTGACAAGCACTTCTTACTCTCTAAAAACTAAGCTCTTGACCAGGGACATGTTTTTGATGTTATTAACCAGGAGCCTGTTTTAATTTTACAAGATCCATGAATGCTGCATTATGAATCTGTTTAAAATACTAGTATCATTCAGTATCAGACTTGGAGTTTAATAACAGCTATTTAAGACTGCCCCACAATTGTAACATTTTGTGTAGGTTATTTGGTTTAGATAACTTTACCCCATTGGAGCAGCCATTCAGGAGACAAAGACCCAGCTGCATGTGTCTTTGAAATGTGCCAAGAAAGCAGAATTTAGTATTAAACTCCTAATTTCAACTTTTTAGAAAAGGAGCATTTCCTCTGGGTAAGGGGAGGCAGTGAATAATTGCCGAGCTGCAAAGGTGTAAACTCCCTGCGGCCTCTCCCCCTCCTCTCCATCAATACAATGGATTGAATTTGTAGCCAATTGTAAAAAAAGAACTGGATACTTTTCTGAGAAAGGCTTCATGCCATGACTAAGAATAGGTGGCAGGAATCATGGCGAATCAGTTACTGAGTTGTTGCCGTCCAGTTTGCTTTCCGTATACTCTGAACCCAGAGGACGGCTCCATCCCTTCTCAGGCACCTGGAAACCAGACCATGCGAGACTGGAAGACATTTGCTCCAAGTGGAATGTACTAGAGAAGAGGACGAGGCGGAGCACAAAATCATCTTTTCCCTTTCAAGGAGTTTAATTGAACATATTTGTGACAGGTCTGTCTCCGACTTGCTGTGTTCATAGTAAATAATGTAGCATTTACTTTGTTTGCTTATGTGTGGTGTGTATATATATACATATTTGATATGTACACATGTACTCCCCGTGCATATGTATGTGTGATATATCCGTGTGCACACGCAGTCTCCTCTTGATTATCAGCGGGGCGGCGAGCCCTCATTGCACTTTCTTCCCGCTCACTCAGCCTGCATGCAGCCTCTTCCTCACCTGGAGCCACAGGCTTTCCTGCTTCTGGCTCCTCGCAGGCCCCAGGAAAGGCCCTTAAAATGAGTCACTTTCCAATCCTCTTGCACCAAGGATTGTGTGAGCCAGAAAGATGGCTGCAACCCTTTTTAAGAAGGGTTGAGGCGCCTGGGCCTGAAGGTGATCGGGCCCATTCCACAGCTCTGGGAGCTGTGCTGCTCCTGGGTTTCATGGGGGGCTTCACAACTTGCTTAAATTCCTTAGCAGGAATGCTGCGAAATCTTGGATAAGTCTTTGATGTACAGGTAGAGTTCAACCATGTATTTCACCGATATTCTTGCATTTGCGGTATTGCTGTTCCCCATCGCTAGCCCAGATAATCAAGACCTGACTGTTTCTTGCCACTGGATTCCCGAAGCCTTTTCCTTTCAACTGGATTTGTTCATTTCTGCTGCTGTGAAACCCAAAAGTAATGCAGTAGGTTTTAATTTAAAATTGTTTAATTCTATTATTGATAAATATTTATTGTAATAAAAGTAAAGAGTAAATAATTTTTAAATCCTTTCAATTGTTTTGACTGTCTTTGTTTTTCCTTGGTAGATGCAAAATGGGAGGAGAGCTATGGGGAGAAAATGTATGGCCAGCCACTTGTCTGAGAGAATTGATTTTTTTTTATTTAAAAAATATTTTTATATATCTTTATTGATTTCAGAGAGAGGAAGGGAGAGGGAGAGAGAGAGTTAGAAACATCAATGATGTGAGAGAGTCATTCATCGGCTCCCTCGTGCACGCCCCCCCACTGGGGATTGAGCCTGCAGCCCAGACATGTGCCCTGACCAGGAATCGAACCGCGAGCCATCTCCTGGATCCTAGGTCGATGCTCAACCACTGAGCCATGCCCGGCNTGAGCCTGCAGCCCAGACATGTGCCCTGACCAGGAATCGAACCGCGAGCGATCTCCTGGATCCTAGGTCGATGCTCAACCACTGAGCCATGCCCGGCCAAGCTTATTGATTGTTTGTAGAGCAAAGCATTAAAAGGATTTTTTTAAGAAGAGAGATCAGCCTGCTTGCTCCTGGCTGTTCTAGAATTCTGTGACTTGTTTCAGAAAGCAGAGAACTAGGCAGGTGGCACTAACAACTATTCATAATGTACTGTTCTTGACTCCCCCAGGACTGGGTACTCAGCAATATATAATAATAACTGGGTCACAATGAAATTAGTTTGTAAGGTGGTGGTTTCATACCCAAAAACATTTTCCCATAGAAAGAGTGTTCATGAATGGTGTTAAGTTTCTAGGCTAAGTCCACAAGAACCTAATAACATTCACTTGGTACCCCCAAACTATGGTATATAAACCCTAAGTTCTTATAAAAAGTAAGATTTTCTAACATTGCTTCTGAGGAGAATTATTTCCTGTTTTTTTACATCAGAATTGATCCAGTTCTGACTGGGCATTTAAAAAAAATTTGCAGAAGGTGAAAGAAGAAATGTCCCATATTTTAACCTAGGCTAATTGTTTTTAGAGCAAAGCATTAAAAGCTTTGCTCTAGAGTGTTTCCCAGCTGTGTGCTCTTACTCCCCTGCCCTCCCAATCTCTTGGTTGCCCTAGCAGTTACCCCTCCCTTCTGCCTGCAAACCTCAGTTGCCTAGCAAGTACCTGACACATAGCAGGTATATACAAAGTAACCACACTTGGGCCTGTATACATTTAAAAAGACCAATGCCCCGAAAGTCATCTTTTCCAAAGAACACTTTATAACTGCTTCTTCCATTTTCCTTCTTGCTTTCATTCTGAAAGTCTCTCCAGACCTCCCAAACTATTAATAAAATGACTTTTCTTACTCATGTTCAACTTGGTAAACTTTGACCCAGGGCGACTGATTTTTTCTAACCTTCAGTTTCCATATATGTAGAATGGGATTATTAATATTCCCACAGTTGTTATATGTTATGAATAATGCATGTAGAGTGTTTAGCACAATGAGTGTTTGGCACCTAAGGTAGGTGCTTGGCTTCTACTAATACCTAGTTCTTAATCTTTGTCTTTGGACTTTCCCCTAAGCCTTGTGACCTACTCCTGACTTCCCTGCTTCCCCTTTCTAGTTCCTCCACACCTTAGGAATGCATGAATATGCTGGTGAGGCAGTTCTAAAAAGAACTAGAAATGAGTAAAACAAGATTGCCTTCTGAGGATCTATTAGTAAAATTCATACCAACGGGGAAATAGGAACAAACCCAAAATTATGTGAATGTTTGCTGAATCCCCAAACCCCAATTAAGGTGACTCGGTGTACCTTACAGATGTAGAATTGGGTGTGGGGCTTGACTTAGCATGCTAAAATCTAAACATATTCTTTTTCTGGAAAAAGACTAAGCTGAAGGTAGATGGCCAGCCTGTAGCATAGCAAAGGAAGCCTGCATAGCCTTTATGACCCAAAACTTACCCAGTGATGGGATGCCATGCCTCAAGGACTCAAGTCATACCCATATGGGCTGCTGAGTTCATTATAGCCAGTTTGTACATCAAGAAACTTCCTGATTATAGTTTGGTTCCCTTTGTAGATCAGCCACAGAGATGTGCTGGTCACAAGTCATAAGCATGCAAGTGCCCTGTTGAGTTTCTTGCTCAAATTAGTTGAGTGCATTCTCTACATGTTTTTCTTACATGGGCTTATTAATGTAAGTCAGTTCTCAAAAGCAAGTCTGCTTTTGGGATATTGGCTACCCGTTGAGGACCAGATTCTGGAAGCTAGTGAAATATTAAGGTGGACGTCACCTACATCCCTCCCCGCCAGACTTCTCATTCCCCTGCTCCTATCTGCTGCAGTCACTTCAGGATCTCCTGTCACCACTCTTTAAAAAAATAATGAATAAATAAACTTTATTTTCTATTATATCAGAAGTGATCTGTGTTCTTTAGAGTACAGGATGTAAACCACCCATAGGCCTAACCCCCAGAGATACCAACTGCTTTGTGTTCCCCCCTCATTTTTCTTGCGTACACACTGCGTATGTTACAAATAAAACAGGTCATCCATTCATTCTTAGCAGTTTCATTTTCATCCCATGAATGCTTAATCAGTCCCCTTGTAGATGGATTTTGGGTCATATCCAGTTTTAATATTACCAATAACTGTAGTGAGCATACAGATACACCTGTGTACCTTTCTTTCATTGGAAAAATATTGATTGAGCACTCACTACGTGCCAGGTATTGGGCTAGGTGCTGTATGAACAGTGATAAATAAAACTGACATGATTTTGACCCCACAGAGCTGTAGCCTAGAATCCTTATCTTTCTAGGATAATTCTTTTAAGAATTGTCTAGTCAGTGCATATACTTATTCAAACTATTAATACATATTGGCAAGGTGTCTTTCCAGCAGTGAACGAGTGGCTTTTCCCCACACCTATGTAAAAAGGTTTGTTACTTACATAATTGAGGCCATCTGCGACCACGCAAGGAAGACCACCTTCCAGCTGGTTGGAAGATGTCTAGAGAGACCTGGGAAAGGACCCCAGCTTGGGGCTTTTACTGGGATTAGGGGGTGGGGATGGATGATGGTACCCAGCTCACACTGGAAGCTCCTGCCAGCGCCAAAGGAGGGAACACCTAGGCATTTACATTTTTTTAAAAAATCGGCTGCCCAGATGTGGAGTAGAGGGGAAGAAGACTGAGGCTTACAGCAAAGACTGAGGCTTGTCAGCAAACAGCAAAGCAGGGAATCAGATTCTTTGTGTGTCTGGAATGATGTATCTGAGGATTGCTTTAGGGCCAAGTATCTTACTGCTCAGTCTCCTGGGATTTGGTGGCACCTATCTCTGCAACAGCTGATTCTCACTGACTTCCTCATAGCAGCCTGCTTCCAGCTGTAGTCATGCCCACAATTTTTTTTTTTTTTCCTTTTCCCCCCCCACAGAGGAGACATGGACCAGGGCCTGGCAGAGTTCATGGTCAGATCACTTCCTCTGATTCCAGGGTCCACAGGGAAGTCTAAGGCTTGAGGTTACAACCAAAGGAGAGCGGTTGGCAGAGGGCCCTGAAGACCAAAATCAAACACACTACTTCTCATACCACACTCCACCCCCAGATATGGGACAAGGACCCAGGCAGCTAGTGGGACTCTTTGCTCCAAGATTTTGGCACTTGTAAATCTCTCTACCACTCGCAGGCTTGAAAAAGTTAAAAAAACACACCCAAAACCCCATTGGCCTCTGAGTAGGTCTCATTCACTAAGGGCTTGTCTTCTTTGGTCTCACTCTTGCCTTTGAGAAAGCAGACAGTACTTTACAACAGTTCAGAAAATGGTCCTCAAGTAGTCGTGACTTATCCGAGGTTGCAGGGCAGGTCTAGGGCTGGGACCTGCCTTTTCTCACCGCTCCACCGCCCCTGTCGGAGTTTCCCCGCAGGCCAATGGAACAAAGGCCCCGCCAAATGTTAAAGTTTTTTTTTTTTTAAAAAGGGTTTTAATTCTCAATAACATATTTCGTGGACACTGAGACCCATAAAACACCCAGGAAATAGTGGTTTTTCAAGCAACAGTGCTTCCCTGAGAGTCTGATTGCGCTTCTGTACTCTGAACTTACCCCCCCTCCCCCGTACTATTTCTCTCTGCCCCCCTCCTCTTTCTGCGGGGCAGCGACGGTGGGGCTGTCCCGGGTTTCAGCCCTACGGAAAATGGCTAAGAGGACAGCCACCCCTCGCTGGGGAGCATCTGGTAGGGGGGCTGCACGCTCTGCAGGAGGCGGGGCCCGCGCACGCGTGGGAGCCGAAGGACGACGGGCGGCGAGGCGGGCGCGGCGCGCTCCAGTGCAGACCGCC